ATTTTTAAAGGTATTTTAAAAGTCAAATTTCTGAAGTTTGTGTATTTCAGTTTCTTTTACAGATCAATTCTAAATCTTACAATTTTGCTACTGGAAATGTCAAATGAAAAGCAAAAGGGTTTGGTGCTTCCAAATGGTTTGCTGTCTGTGGGAATGCCTCAATGTGATAGGCTGCTTGTGGACATTACTGTTACTGCATGTCCAGTGATTCCCACAATTTGGTGCCATTTTTGAACTAACATCAGAAGAGGAAAAGTCTGTACCACAAATATCAGAAAACTGCTATGTGTGCACTAACCGCAATTAATCTTTACTTCAGACATTAAAATGCTTATGTCATGAAGAAAAATAATACAAGTTTTGCTTTTAAAATGATTAGGCATTTACCAACTTAATAATGTAGTCAGTACATTGTACACCAGAGGCGAGATTTCGGATGTGATGTTGTAACTTGAAGATTAGGACTGCAGTGACTTTTGGTTGTCAGTTATATTGAAATTGTGGAAAAATGTAATTCTGATAGGGTCAGAAATTAGAAACAGTCCAGCCACAGGTGTCAATGGCACTACTTGCCTTCAGTTGCTCCAGCTCTATGTTTTGTGATGCACCATCTTTTCATTTTAATTGGACAGCCAATAAAAACTTATCATTTAGGGTCTCCTGGCACGGTGGCACAGTCCCTCCTTCGGAGTTAGAAGATTCAGGTTCAAGTCCACCTGCTTCAGAGGAGTATCATAACATGCCTGAACAAATTAAAAGGAATTTCTAATTAAATGTTCTAATCAAAAAAATACTCAACATTGGTCAATTGTCAGTGAAACAGCCTTTTCCCAACCACAGTATTCTGATGACTAATATACAGAAGTATGCAAGAAGAATGAAAATAAAAGCTGGAGAGAGTAGTTAGTAAAGCATTTGTGTCCTCAGCTTTATTAATGGCGGCACAAAGTACAAGGTCAGGGAGGTAATGTTAAACATCCATGAGACACTTGTTTTACCTCAGCTGGAGTATTGTGTACAGTTAGGAGTGACATATTATAGGAAACATGGGAATGCATTGGAGACAGTGCAGAAGCAATTTACAAGAATGGTTCTTGAGTTGAGGAATTTCAGTTATGAGCTGGAGAGGGTTCAGAAGAGATTTACCAGGATGTTGCTGCGTATGGCAGTTTTTAGTTATAACGAAAGGCTGGATAGGCTGGGACTTTTTTTCCCCCAATGGAGCATAGGAGGTTGAGAGGCGACCTGATAGAAATTTATAAAATAAAGAAAGGGAGAGATAGAATTAATGGTAGTTTGTTTTTTCCCTAGGATGGGGGTTTTAAGACTAGGGGGCGCATTTTTAGGTAAGAGGCGAGAGATTTAGAAAAGACACAAGGCAATTTTTATTTTAAACAGAGAGGCTGGTTTGTGTGTGGAATGAACTTCCTGAGGAAGTGACAGATGCAGATACAATTACAACTTTTAAAAAACATTTGGATAAGTACATGAATTGGAAAGGTTTGGAGGGATATGGGCCAGGAGCAGGCAGGTGGGACAGGTTTAGTTTGGGATTATGCTCGGCCAGGACTGGTTGGGCCAAAGGGTCTGTTTCTGTGCTGTATGACTCAGAGTCTATAAATTGGGACTGTTTGCCTTGAAGACAAGGCAGCCAAGAGGAGATTTGATAGAGGTTTGCAAAATCATGAGCAGGCTGGATTGAGTAAACAGGGAGAAGCTGTTCCCGCTCGTAAAAGGTGGCATTGATTTAAAATGATGTGACAATATAGCAACGGTGATGTGAGAAAGAAAAACTTTTTCACAAAGCAAGTAGCTAGGGTACGGAAATGCACTGCCTGGAAATATAGAGGAGGCAGGTTCGATTGAAGGATTTAAGACATTGGACATTTATTTGGATAGAAATAGTGCACAGGGATATAGGAGAAAAGGGAGGAGATTGGGTCCAAGAAACAGAACCTATGTAGCACACTGGGACAAGTGGCCTCCTTCTGGGCTGTAACAATGTTATGATTCTTTAAAACAGAAAGTGTCCTGGCGATTAATCTTCAACTGCTGGAGATTTCACAAGACTGCTCCCAGCACTCTTGTAAAATGGAGCCCAATAAGTATCCAATTACATTGGGCACAGCTCCAGTGTCCTCAGCACACGGACCCTATATCAGCTCTCCATTATATATAGTTGCACATTTAACTTAGCATTGATTGTTTTGTTCCAGGTTTTGATATATGCCCCACTTTATTCTGCTGAATTGGGCTAAGCCCACACCCCCACCAAAAAAAAAAGATACCTCACTGGTTCTGCATCTTAAAGACACAAAAAGCACGTTGTCAGGAAATGTTTGCCTGCAATCCTACTTCTACCTGTTATTCAATACTTTGTTCTTATGAGCCATGTGGATTTTCCTAAATTTGAACTTCAGTTATCACATTTCAGTATGAGCATCAAAATGAACAAAGGTTCTGAGTTTACCCAAATTTGAGTTCATGCCAGTGCGATGGCATACCAGGCAGCTCTGTAAACAGCAACAATGATATCAGTGCAGCTTGTCCACATTTTTGTACTGGCTCATTTTTTTATGGATTTCAAGATACCTGCTTCATACGTTACTCCTGTCTGAACAGTTGGAGGGGCAGTAAAGGGAGCAAACTGGGATGCAGGTGAACTACTGGAAATTTTAAATCCTTTCTTACTGCTAATTAAAGTGCACAGCTGTATAAAATGCAGAATACAGCTCTGAGAACAAATCAGTTATTGCAAAAAAAAAATGCTGCCCAAAATTGGAGCTGGTACTCTGAATAAGCGAGGAGCTGATCCAAATAATGCCTTATCACAAGACTCCAAAATGTCCCACGCAAATTCAATGCAAACAGATTTTGTTTCTGCAGTTCTCAGCATCCATCTGTCCAGCAAGAAGTGAAAATCTGCTTTTCAATGAGAAGCTGATTTTAATGACACCAGTTCAGGGCTCCTGGATACTGCTGTGTGGGTGGGTGGCTTCACTAATCAGTTGTGAATGACTGAACAGGACACTTTTTCTTTGAAATGGCAGGTAAAATGTCCCCAAAATTTTAGAAATTTGTATAGTAGTATATGCATGATAACACCACACTTCCTGTGAGGAGGAGGAGGACAACAGAATGTTATTTCTTTATACATATGGTTGTGCAGTTTGTTTTTATAGAAAGAAAACTAAAACTTCTCCTACATGTCAGCTTGGTCAGTTAGTGGCGCTATCATAGAGTGGCAGAAGTTATTCATTCATGCCATACATGCCAGGACCTAAGTATATTAGAACTGAGGGTAATACACTGTTTAACAGTTTTCTGTTGTGGATATTATGGGCCAGGAGCTGGTGAACAGTTATAACATTAGAATGCCACACTAACAGACTTGGTCATTATTAACTTGTAAAAGTTTCAGTTTGAGGATGTGTCATAAGCTCAGTTTCTTGGCGAACTTCTCAGCAATTTGCATTGTTCTGCTATCAGCTTCAGTAAAGGTGATCAAAGTCATTTTCAGCCCTTTGCACCCTCGAATTCAGGAACAGGTGGATTTGTGACGTTTTCACAATTTAAGTTTACCAGTCATTTAGGAGTGGTAATTAATGTTGTTCTCGGTTAATGAAATGATTTATGGCCCTGAGCAACATTGAGCCTTGGAAGCTCATGAAAGAACTAATGAAACCACAGAATTTACAATCCTAAGTCACATTGTTCCTGGTGCCTTTTCAACCTTTTTAAGGTTGCAGTAGTATCCTTGTATTAGTCCTATTATCCATAGGCCTGTTGGCGTCACAAGGTAATAGTTTTCTGGGCACAAAAGCTCTACATTTAGATAAATCACTCATTCAAATGCAAATAAGGTAGACCATTTCAGAAAGTTATTGCATAATGTATTACAATTTTTATGAAACATGGCATGTGGTAAGTGTGGGCAAAGTTTGAGGGGAATAAAAGTAACTTTGAACCTACAGCTCATGAAGCTGTTCACTTTGGTGCTTTGCCTATGGCTGAGTCTGCTGTGGGCCAATTGAGGGACTGATGCCATGATTAAATGAAAAGTTCCATTCTGAATATAGCAAGGGATTTCCTGGTTGGAAGCCACTGGATTAGATGGCCCTTGCTCTTTACTGGTTTAACAATTCCTATGATCATATGAAAGAGTGGGGTGTTGTAACCACTGTTGCTGATTGTGATGTTTATTAGGGCCTATGACGCTAAACGACTTGACTCAAGAATGTTTGTACAATTTACACACAGACCTGGCCAATTCTGGAAGACCAATGCAGCAAGCTATAAATAAGTTTAATTATAAATTTCTAACTAAATTGGAAGCTTTCTGCTTGTTCATTTTATTCATTTCTGAAATGACCCTTTTATTTATAAGTCCCACTGTTTCATCTGATTCTAATTCATTTCCTTCTTTGTCTTCTACTTTCTTACTTCTATATTCTTTTCTTTCCTTAAGGAGAAAAGTCATGGTACATGATATTGGCGATCCTCTATGAGATATTGAAGCAATTGTGCCTTTATCAGATTGACATTCCAGAGATTCCTGGAGTTGATAATTTGCAGTCAATGTTGAACATAAAATCTAATTAGTGTTGCTCTCCCCAAATGCACCAACACAGCAATTTCTGACCCATTAAATCAAGGCCCATCAAACATTGTCAGATACCTTGTGATAATGGACCAATGTTAAAGATAAGCAGAGAGTTCCCTCACCACCATAAGCACTGATCCTCAACCAATAACGCCAGTTACATACACATTAATTGGTCATTTAGGTCTTTGTGGGGCTTTTTTGTGTCAATGTGCCTGCCAGGCCTCCCCAAAAGTAATCAATTCTGTGCAAAACACTTTCAAAAATTTCCAAAGGATGTTGCAAGGTGTCACCTTAAAGAAAGATAATTTGCATTTTTCCCCTTAACAATCTTGAATGATGCAAAAACTGAGACCACACACAATTCCAAAAATTTATTTATTTTAGTTTTCCAAGGTACAAAAAGAGATTCTGTCTGAATTGGCAATATATCACCATTGGAAAAAATCAAATACAGCGTTCAAAATGACTAACATTGGGATTGTCCCCTTGTATCCAACTGGAGATGTCCAGTACAAATGGGTCAATTATCTTGTATAAGGTATTAGGTAAAGTAACATCTTTTCTAGTCTTCTCTCTGGACATCCAACCCATAACACTGAACCCTTAAAAGTTGCTCCATTTCCAAGATAATACTTTAGACTTCAGGGATAACTTGGTGCACTGGTGTTCTGAAGTGCTGTGGTAAGGAAGGGTGTTGATCAGAATCAGTACTGAAGTAGAGGGATCAGCGACAGAGAAAAAGGAGAGAAAAAAAGAAAGTGGTTATTTCATCTACAAAAAACGGAATGAAGAGAGTTTGGAAACATTTGGTCTTTGGTGACAGCCCATCCAAGAAAGCACACTTTCAGCAAGAATTCCAGCCTTTCTAAAAAGACATCATGGCTCATGGCTTTACCCAGAACGGCCCGACATTTGACAGATTGAAAAGTGCTAGAGCAGGTTCTTCAAGCCTGTTTAACCATTCAATTAGATCACAACTGATCTGCACCTCCACTCACCATTTCTTCATCTCTCTTGATACCAATAACCAACAAATTAACAACAATTTTGAAAATTTCACTTGATCCAGCATCTACTCTTAGTAGAGAGAATTCCAGATGTTCACTACCTTCGCAAGAAAGAGTGATTTGTAATTTCACACCTGAATGGCTGAATTTGAATTTTAAAATTTGTTCCCCCTTGCTCTAAATTCCTTCCGAAATAGTTCCCCTCTATCTACCATATCAAATCCAGTCATTTAGTGGTACTGAACTTGAATACTGTTGACACTTTTTCCAAAGCTTCTAGTCTTGAACTCATCAGAATACTTTACAACAAATAACAAATGTAAAGAAAAAACATTGCTGTCATCAAGTATGAAAGTGCTGATTGGTGGACAAGGGGACTCAGATGGGTAAAAGCATTGCTATACAGAATGCGCCAATGAGATGACGACTCACAGCAAACAACCGAACTTTAAAGTATTGAACCAAGCATGTTGACTCCAATTGATCAAGGCATTACCCACAAATTGAAGCATTGAATGGTTGCCACCTATGTTGTTGACTTGAAACAGGCACAGTGCCTGTATATATGTTCTATCTGTCCACAAAGAACAGGACCTTGTATATTAATATATGCAGCTTCCAACATGCACAAGATGCTTCCAGCTGGCTGACAATCTTAAAATACTTGACAGCTTAATTCTTTGCACATTTAGGACACCTAACCTCTCATCCTTTGCATATTTCCAATTTGCAGTTGACATGTTTGCTATAATTAAATCTGCAGCTGCATGCAAGAATTTCCTTACCTCTTAATAGGGTCTATTCCAATCCCAAATTCATTTCTGAAATGGACAAATGAGCTCTCTTTCCTTGATGTCTTAGTTGAGAAGTTGTCCAGGTGGTTCTCAACCACGTATTGCAAGCCTATCTCTAACCATCGTAAATATATGCATTGGGATTTGCACAGTACCATACACTATTAGATTGGCCTGACCAGCAACATCGTAAAGAGGATCAGAACCGTTTGTTCACCATGAAAATCTTGATGCTGAAGTAGGGTACAACAAAACCATTCTGTGGAGTAATGCCTCCCCAGTCAATTATATAGCAGCAACAGAAGCAGCGTTTTCCATTATTAGGATGCTGCCATCAAGGCAAAAAGATATTCTGCCTATCTCACAAGTGAGTAATCAGGTACATGATTCCAATGCAGTGCGAGTCTAATTATGCATGCCATATATTCCAAAGACCAGACAGTATCAACAGCATATCCCTTTGACTGTTTACAATACGCAAGATACTGACTGTAACCAAATTGCCCTTGCTTGCAAACCTCAAGAGAAAATCCAATATTAGATGTTATTCTGCGATGGAATGAAATTTGCTCAATAACCCTGAGTGTGCAAAGAATAAAGCTGGCAACCAATTTATGGTTATCATTCCGGCTCACAGTGTTGTGTCCTTGCACACACAAAGATACAAATCAATACTTTGCAGATATGTATACAACCTGCACCATTTTCAACTCAAACTGCCAAGACATTTGCTGAGTTTATTTCTCAGCGCAATGCTTTGACTAAACAGAGTCAACTTGCCTGGTTTAAAAATTAAAACAAAGTTTGGTAGTTAACTGTCATGCATCATCTAACTGATGAATTATCTAATGACAATACCGCTGCCAATCAGAATTCTTCTGCCAACAAATCAGTACTCTCTTCCTCATTCAATATAAATGTGCTTTTCGTTTACACTGGTATTTCTTGCAAATTGCCCTGATGAGGACAAAATGATTCCATCAACATGTGTCTTTTTCAGTAATACTCAAAATATCTCATTCACCTCAATTTCATCACTTCCCAACCTCTCAAGTTGAAGGGAATATAGGCCAAGCTTAAGCAGACTCTTTAAGGAGTTACATTAATATTGCAAATTGATACAATACAGGTTTCAAGGTTTATACTCTTAGTCCTCATTATCCCCAAGTAATAGGGGTATGAACATCCTGTGGAGAGCAAAAAAAAGACATGGATATGGCCCATGTGTACCTCTCCTATGTACCATGAGGACCACAATCGGTTTACAATCAGGAAAAAAGACATTGGGTCTGGGCTAGCCTTTCTAGTATGCAGATCCATAGGTAGAGAAAAAAAATCAACAGATTATGAGCATTAAGTGTCTACCTTTCCTGGGGCACAGAGTGTCCAAAACGGACTGCAGTTTTCCAGTGGGGATCCAAGTCTCGAAAGAACTGAAACCCTTTGAAAGAAAAGCCAAAATTCCATAAGCCTTTATAATTACTTTTTCATCTGAGAGTTTTAGCTTTCAGTGGATTTGTCTACTTATTCCTTTGTTTCCGCACAACTAAATCTCTCAACATTAAATAAAATAATAATTTCAATTCATCTTTGTCAGATCCACAGTGGATTTCCCAGTGATCTCAGCTGTCATAGTTTCCCCACCGTTTAAGTCACTCTGTATCCCTTTGAAACTTCTGCAATGCTCCAAACTACAATGCTTCCCTGTTTAATTCAGCTGAAAACTTAGATACCCAACTCTCCAAAATCAAAGCCCTTAATATACACTATTGGACGAAACATTGAGACTATCAAGGTTAGTAACTCTCAAGATCTAAATCATTTCCAAACTGTGTTGCACGTATGTTGTACAAATGTTTAATGCACTGCAAAATGGTTTTCTATTATTCTAAGCCAAAATACAAACTTGCTTAAGTGGATGAATTTGCATTTTCACTAGAACAATTTCAAATTAATCCACCAACCATCAGAATACCATTAACACAAACTAATCTCAATGTCAATAATCAGCACCTCAATACTTCATAACATACTGCTAGCATTATTCAACAAATTGATCAGAAAACATGAAATGTTGACAGCAATACAGTATTAATAGATTACATATATCTCTGGAAACTGATTTCAGTGAAACAGTTTGCCCAAAGTGCCAATGATTCAACAGTTATTCACATCTCTTTGAAAATAATGGCACGATAAACATTGCACTTAGTTAAGTAACAACATTTTCTTTTTCTGAAATGAGCAACTGGATTTACAGGTTCAAAAAGAAAAAGAGAAAACCTCCAATTAAAGTAATAAAGTGATATCATCGACATGGAATGATTTTCTGTAGTCCATTGAGAAATCATCCTTATGGTATTACTCTGAAATTTACTTTATTAAAATGGAGCACTCTTTGCCAAATGTTTTTGTTTTTGAGAAGCCAGAATAATTGATATTTTATCATGACATGATGCTTCAGTGCCAAAATGTGGCATCAAATGAAAAAATTGCAGCATGCTTTCCTTAATGTATACTGTGCACCCTAATAGCTACAAGAAGATTTTTTTGTGCACAATTTACTATACTTGCATATAAGTCATCTTTATATTAAGAATTATTAAAAACCACAGCAACAATTTAAGAAAAGTTACCAGTAGCATAATTTTACACAATTAAAAAGGCACAGCAAGTACAGAAACTGATGTCTGGGCAAATATCCATTAAAAACAAATAATTCATTAGAGTTACATCACTGGAAGGAACAAGGCGCTATGGTGCTTTCCAACACTTTTGTTTTGACTGCCTGCCTGCCTTTGGTATAAAAATCAATACAGTCCTAGGAAAAAGATAGCGCCAGTACAAACCCTGTAGCAAGATGCCAAAAAAAAAAATCACTTTTGACAATGTGGACCCAATTCATTAATAATATCACAGATTGTAGTAATTAAAGACATGCTTTTGGAGTTGGTCTATTAAGATCAGGGTTAAACACATGTTGAGGTGATGAAAGATACTTTAACTCATGTTTTACCTGACCTAAACTTATTTGGTGTACTGTTAACACGTCAGTTTTAATTTTACCAATCTGAACAATGGCAAATTTGGGGACTTTATCCAGACCCCAAGTGAAAGTCAATCTTTCAGTCAGTCCTCAACAATAGAAAACAGAAAAGGTCCAGCCTTCTGCACAATGAGGTTCCTTTAAAACATTACTGAAATAGTGAAAATTCAAACCATTTTGAAAACCAAGAGTGGCTTTCACAATTCCAACTTAACTGGTGTATTACGATATCGCTACGTCAAACATGCAATGTTTATAAGAGATAACAAGGTGTAGAGCTGGATGAACACAGCAGGCCAAGCAGCAGAGGAGCAGGAAGGCTGACGTTTCGGGCCTAGACCCTTCTTCAGAAATGGGGGAGGGGAAGGGGGTTCTGAAATAAATAGGGAGGGGGAGGCAGATAGAAGATGGATAGAGGAGAAAATAGGTGGAGAGGAGACAGACAGGTCAAAGAGGCGGGGACGGAGCCAGTAAAGGTGAGTGTAGGTGGGGAGGTAGGGAGGAGATAGGTCAGTCCAGGGAGGACAGACAGGTCAAGGGGGCGGGGTGAGG